TAAGTTTTTGAATATGTAACTTCATTTACTTGCGATTCATAATTTTTTTCCTAAACTGCTGTAAAATCAGCAAAAATGCCTTGGCAATTTTAGCATAGTTCCTAGGATATTGGTTGGCACTCAAAGAGTTAAACCTGGTTATTCCCTTTTAATACATGGGAATTATTGTTTTGTTTAAAATCAGAATTGATGGTGAACAAGTAGAGACTCTCTAAAGCCCTTTGTCTTCTAAAATTAGTAGATATGCCAGAGTTAGTTTCTGTAAAAGTTAGTTTTAGTAATAGTTTCAAGGTGTTTGATTAGTTGGCTTGAGAAAAGGAGATTAATTTTTAAAATGTTTACAGTGTAGGTATATTTAATATCAATTAAGAACTCAAAATTTAAAATAAGTATATGCCAGACCATGTGTGCTCTAGAGCAGAAATCAGCACATTTTGTCTGTAATGATTGTGTAGGTCTGTGTCCCAGCCACTCACCTCCTGTTTAGTGTGAGAGCAGCCCCAGATGGTATCTTATTTCACTACATTTTATTACCAAAACAGGCATCTGGACAGTGGGCCAGGGTGTGCCGACCCTTGGGCTGTGTGGGTGTTCTAGGAGATAGACATTTGGCCTCTGTTCGCCTCTTTATTGACTTTCGTATGCATTATTTTGAATTCCCATTTATTGAGTATCTATTTATATGGACAGCTGTTGATGCTGTTAGTCCTTCAGAGAAGAATACGGTCCAGTCTCTTACTTTGTGGGAGCTTGCTTTAGCAGGAGCGAAAATATAAAGGGGCAGGTGAAGTTGTCTGGCATCAGTATGTATGCCTGAGTGCTGACTGATGAGCCCAGGTGTAATCACAGCTGTTCTTAAAACCCAAATGCAGGAACGTTGGTATTGCCTAGTGAAAGGTGTGCTTTTTAAATCCTGTTCTGAAGCTGTCAGTGGTAGTGTCCGAATGAGGGCTGGGAGTGGCTGACTCAGCTAAGTAGTGGTCCTCATGTGCTCTGGGTCCCAGAGCCAACTGCCAGCCATGCATGTATTAGTCCTGATAGAATTTTAGTCTGTTGAGACATTTTCAGTGGATGTGGCTATCCTGAGTCCTGGGGTTTTTTTGGGGGGGGGGGGGGGGGGGCGGAATCTGTGATATTCTCCTACCGCCCTTTGGAAATCCTGCCTTAGCTTCCTAGTCACCATGCCTCAGGGCAGCTTTTACTCTGAACAGGTTCTTCAAGTCAAGCATGCCCTTCTTCTCTTACAGATGCCACCTTTTATTTAGGCATAAACAAAACATTCATTCATTCTTGAATGGATACAGACACTTAGTCTGAAGTGTTGTGTTGCCTACAGTAAGGTGTAGGTGAGGGATGAGGCCTAGGCCTCCTAGTGTACATTACCAAGTGGGCTCCTGAAGATACATTTTGGTCCTAAGGCCTCTGCTTGCCTCCCACTCGTGGTCCATGTATTTAATTAGCATTGGAGCACATGGCAATGCTCCTCTCCCTTTTCTTCTTCTCTAGATAGTTAAAACAAACTTTTTGTGTGTGGATACTTCATAACCAAAAACAAAAAGTTAAAGTAGCTCTCATGCTGGGAATGTAGATGGTGTCCTTTTAGATGGGCATTTCGGGTGATTGGCCATTGTATATTATGTCTCGGGCCTGCTACTGTGAATGGTATGGAATTGTGGCATTTTTGTTTAGGGCAGCATTGATTACTTATTTGACAGATATATGATTTTTCTGTTCTTTAGGAATTCTGGTAAACCATGTCTGAAAATTTTTTAGATTAAATGTTGACAGTTCTAACACACTTACTACTTTTCAACTATTCAGAGGTTCATAAAGGTGTTCTGAGTATAGAGAAACTAGAATGATAATTCCTGCTGTTTTTTGGTAGATGATATGGAAAGAGAAAACACTAATTAATTAACTTTGCACTTGGGCCAGTTTAATGAAAATGCTAATATATTTTTTATCATCTTAAGTCTTGTAAGGAAGTGTTTGGGGGGTACCATGGAAAGACTGTATTTTCCACGTTTGTGGTGATGGATGCAGTTGTAGCTGTACCTCATTGCCTGTGCTTTGTGTTGACAGCTATACGCACAACATCGAAGCAGTCAGCTGTGATGAGGCGCTGGTGGACATCACTGAAATCCTTGCGGAGACCAAGCTTACTCCTGACGAATTTGCAAGCGCTGTCCGCATGGAAATCAAAGACCAGACTCACTGTGCTGCCTCTGTTGGGATTGGTTAGGATCCAGCTTCTCTCCTATTGTTCACTTTACTCAAAGTATTACTTTGGATCACTTAATTTTTAGGAGTGAATTTTGGGTTTTGTTTTTATTACCTTCCTGCATAGGCCTCTTCCAAAACAATTCTTATCATTGCTCACAATTGTGCAGTACATGAGATAAAAGTGTGGGAAGTACAAGTCAGTGGTTGATAATATCTTTGGAATAACCAATTTGGAGTATTTCTCACCTGCTCTTCAGGAATATCTCTCACCTGTTCTTCAGAAATGGGAGAATTGAAGTCAGTATGTGTGAACAGTGTACTTTTTGTCAGTGGACAGAAGCCATGTTTACAGCAGGGTGGTGAGGGTGCAGAGTTCAGTGTGAAGTTCCAGGCCTGTTGTAATCAGTTACTTTCTGAACTCCAGCCTCCTGGACTGCGCGGCCATCCTGTCTCCACTGCAGTTGGTTGATCTTACGTCTTGCCCTTGGTTTCCTTGTTAACTCCCACCATTTATCCTTTTGTGGACTCGTCCGCTGTGCCCTCTGGAACCCTCTCTCTCCATGCCTAACCTTCCCTGAGCCACCTCCTCCTTTCAGAACCTCCTCAGCACCTCTCTTCTTGCCATTCTCTCAAGTGGATCCAGTTTGTCCCTGCCATGCTCTGTGCCACAGGCTTGAGAGGGAGGGACAGCTCTCTCTTGGCTTCACTGTCACTTCCAGTCATGACTTCTCCATTCTCATTCAAAAACCCTTCTTCCTCTGAAGTTCCTGTCTCATTTGTACCGGTGGCCTTTTAATTTATGCAGATAAAAGAGCCAGTCCTAGTGAAGGAAGATTTTTATGGCTTCATTTCCCGAGAGGACAGAGGGCATGCTGTACCATGCAGGACCGTGGGGGGGTGAGGGGGAGCACCAGAGCTCGGTCGGGAGGAGGAAGCAGGAGTGAGAGGAATCCTAGTCCTGAGTCTTTACTGGGGTTTCTTTAGGAAAGGCCGGCCGGGCAGAGCAAGAGTAAACAGCTCAGGATTGGCTACTCTGGGTACTTCCAGTGGCCTTAGGGCTATAAGGGTGGTCTCTGGTTGCCTGTACCTGGCTCTGGGATGAGGGAGAGCAGGAGCATACTGGCTTTGTGTGTGAGTTGGATAAGGAAATGGTTGGGATGGCTGGCTGGCCTGTGGGAGGCATGTTCGCTAGGAAGTGTTTACTCTTTAGAAATTAGCTAGCCTCAGGAGGGCAGTCTCTGACTGCCCAGCAAGATTTTTAATGTGTCAAAACAGCGTAAGATACAGAAAGTAAAACAATGTTAATACATTCATTGCATCCCTCTATTACTAGCTAGCCTGCCTGGTGTTTGGCCTGCAGGTCCTTTTCATCTTTCACTTAGGGCTCACCTGGTGCAATTCCACAGGCACAAGCTTTGGTGTGTTTTTTATTGGACGTATTTTTAATGTACAAGTATGACGATATGAAAAATTCTTTAAAAAAAAAACAAAAAATTCTTTCAAATTCAAGCACATAATTAAAACAAAATTCCCACATGATATTTCCTCTCCTCAGCCCCCTTTTCTTCTTTAGAACTCACCATATTTATCATTTTGGTGTGACTTTCTAGGACATTTTCTCTTCTTGAATATCTATATATTTACCCTGGGAAACACATGGATTTATAGACGTCTACCCTAAAATTAAGACATGTGCTTTCTATAAGCCTTCCATCATTTTTGGAGGTGTCATTTTTCACATACAAGTTCACCTGACATGTTGTTTCTCAGGTCCCTGGCACCTTCCCAGGAGCCTTTCCTTTGCTCTGCTCTAGGTTCGTGTTCACAGCCACACCTGGGGCCTCACTGCCAGGGTCCATCTTGTTTCTAAGTCTCTCATGTCCTCAGTTTCTACTATACGTGTCCTGATCGTAGAGTGAGACTTCTGGTTCTTTGGCTTTCTTTTTCCCAAGTCCAATCGAGTTCATTTGGCCTGATTGCCCTGCCTAGCCTGGATCTGCTGGTTGGTAAAGTGAACTAATTTCTGATCATTGCTCTTAACTTCCTATAAATCACCGTTGTTTGGACTGCTTTCTCTATTCCTTTACCTGGGTAGAAGATGTTGAAATGATACTTATTTTGGAACAAAGAGGAACATGGTTACCTCTGTTCAGTAACCATGCTGGTTATAATCTCTAGTAAACAAAATTTTGCTGGTTTTATGCTATATTTGAAATGATCAAAATTGTAAATAATTTACTTTCATTATTTATAGAAATTTGCTCAGTAACCTGTTTGGAGATGTCTTTGTTAATAAATTTTAAAAATAATTGGGACTATTTCTTGAATAACTTTTGTTTTTGTTTTCTTGCTTTATAGGTTCTAATATTCTCCTGGCTAGAATGGCAACTAGAAAAGCAAAGCCAGACGGCCAGTACCACTTAAAGCCGGAAGAAGTCGATGATTTCATCAGAGGTCAGCTAGTTACTAATCTACCAGGTGAATACAGACCTTTTCTTTTTAAAATTAACTTATTATAAACAGTTACTAGTGCTAAAAGTTTTATAATGTATCTCTTTTCCAAAACATGAATTAAGTATTTATTTATTTTTGAGTGCCATGAGAAAAATTTAGAATTTCACAGTGACTATTTCAATTGATTTATCAGGATCTTAATGTTACATTTAGCTTTGCTTTTAATGGGTTTTATTTTTTAAGTATTTCTCAAGTAGGAAGATAAGGAATTCTAAGAAAACATTTAAAGTGAATATGATGAAGTTGACTTTTGGTCCTTTAAATAAATCATAACTAAAATAGTGTACTTCTAGGTGAAAGATAAAATTTTGAGACTCAAGTCACCTACTTATAAAATTATCCTGCTGGACTAGTGATAGTTTTCTGATTTTAGTGAGCAAATAGTTTTAATTAAAAGGATAAAGTGTGTGAACCGTTAACGCAAAGATTGAAGTAAAACTTGCATCTCCATCTTTCTTGCCAAGGGCAGCATGTTTACTTTTCCCTTTTTGTGTAGGACTGTGTGTAAAATCTTTCCATGGAGAATCATCAAATAGGATTCATTGCAACTGAAAAGTGGTTGCCTTTTAAAAGGCCTTGAGTAGATGTGGTTTTTTGGGGGGGGGATAGGACAGTTCCTTTCATAATTATTAAATATTTAGACTTGCTTTCTATGGTAGATGCCTCTTTCTAAGGAATTTCTCTAAACCATGCATCAGTCCTTGATTCTGTCATATAATCTCACCTCTTTGCTATAAAGCAGCCTGTCTGAGCTTCACCAAGCTCCTGTGGGTCTGTGGTGGGAAAGTTCAAAGTAGCATATTTTGATGAAAGTTTTTTTAATTCATTTGGTTGTTAAAAATGGATTTAGTGAGCCCAGCCCGTGTTGCTCAGTGGCTGAGCACTGACCAATGAACCAGGAAGGAGTCACAGTTCAATTCCCTGTCAGGGCACATGCAGTCAGGCAGCATGCCTGGGTTGCAGGCTCGATCCCCAGTGGGGGTTGTGCAAGAGGCAGTCAGTCAATGATTCTCTCTCATCATTGATGTTTCTATCTCTCTCTCCCTCTATGTAATGAACTCTAGTTGATGATTCTCCACGGAAAGATTTTACATAAGGAAGTTGGTCACACAGTCCTACACAAAACGTGAAAGTAAACATGCTGGCCCTTTGGCAAGAATGATGGAGATGCAAGTTTTACTTCTATGAGTTAATGGTTCATACACTTTATCCTTTTAATTAAAACTATTTGCTCACTAAAATCAGAAAACTATCACTAGTCCAGCAGGATAATTTTATAAGTAGGTGACTTGAGTCTCAAAATTTTATTCCTTCCTCTCTGAAATTAATAAAAAGTAAAAATGGGGCGAGACAACCAAGATGGTGGCATAGGTAAACACCTGAACTTGCTGCTGCGCACAACCACATTAAAACTACAACTAAAAGACAAAACGAATATCACCCAGAACCATGGGAAGGCTGGCTGAGTGGAAATTCTACAACTAGAAGGAAAGAGAAAAGCACATTGAGTCCGGTAGGAGGTGCAGAGGTGTGGAGGTACGGAGGCACGCACGAAAGGGGCTGGCAGCAGGGTATGCTGTTGTCTTTTTCAATCGGGAGGGAGATACAAGCTCCCGACTGCTCTGAACTCCAGTTCCGGGCGAGACTTTGGGGACCCAGACTCACGGAGAGAAACTGGACTGTCTGGCATCGGGCTGGAACATGAGGGCAGCTTTCTCGCAGAGGTGCTTGCAGCGATAATAGTTCCTGCACAGTGCCGCGGGACACAGAGACCCCGGGACCTCTCTGCCACAGAGCAGACTTGCAGCCATTGCGGTTTGCTCCTCCCTGGTGATTCCCTAAGACCCCGCCCCACCCAATTTACAACCCTACCCAAGTTGTGTGCAGAGGCTTTTGCATATGAATGGTGGCCTTTCTCTACATGGAATTTCAAAAACAAAGGAACAAACAAAACAAAACAAAAACAGACTCACAGAAACATAAACCAAAGGGATGGTTGCCAGAAGGGAGGGGGTTGGGAGGATGGATGAAAAAGGAGAATACAGCCAATAATATTGTGATATGTTTGTACGGTGACAGATTATTACTAGAATTAGTGGGGTGATCACATTGTAAGGTATAGAAATATCAAATCATTATACTGTGCCCTAAAACTAATATAAGCAATATAATATTACATGCCAACTATACTTAAATTTAAAAAATTAAATTAGAGACCAAGATGGCGGCATAGGTAAACATCGGAGACTGCTGCCGCAAACAACCACTTCAAAAATACAACTAAAAGACGGAACGGACATCACCCAGAACCACAGGAAGGCTGGCTGAGGAGAGACTCTTCAACTAGAAGGAAAAATAACAGCACACCGAGGCTCAGAGGAGGCGCAGTGTGGAAAATACTCAGGTGCGGAGGTGCGCGCGCAAAGCGGGCTGGTGGCTGAGAGCGCGGTTGTCGTTTTCGGTCAGGGGGGAGTCTCAGACTCTGAGCTCCAGATACGGGCGAATCGCTGGGGACTCGGACTCAAACGGGAGAAGCGGGAGTGTCTGGCATCAGTTGGAAGGCAGCTTTCTCTCCGAGGTTTGCAGCGGTTCCTGGGGTTCTGAGAAGCAGAGCCTCTGGGACCAGGACTGATGGCAGCCATAACTGCTCCCTCCGCCCGCCTGCCCTGTTGATCCCGCCCCGCCCAAGCCCTGCGCAGAGCCATTTGCCGGATCGCCTCAGGCAAAGGCTAGATTAGCACCTCCCCAGAGGACAGAAGTTTTCCGCGGCAGACACAGCTGATTCACACAGCCAGTCGGCCTGGTGGTCAAATCCCTCTAGTATTAACTACAACAATCAAGGCTCAACTAGAACAAGACTGCGCACAAAGACCACTAGGGGGTGCACCAAGAAAGCATAAAAAATGCGGAGACAAAAAAACATGACAGAAATGGAGGATATAGAGCTAAAAATCGCAATTTTGAGGGCTTGCAAAAATGTGCTAGAAGCTGTCAATAAACTTGAGGAGAGAGTCACGAAAACTAATGAGACCCTCGATGCTATGATAAAGAACCAACTAGAAATTAAGCATACACGGACTGAAATAAAGAATATTATACAGACACCCAATAGCAGACCAGAGGAGCGCAAGAATCAAGTCAAAGATTTGAAATGCGAAGAAGCAAAAAACACCCAACCGGAAAAGCAAAATGAAAAAAGAATCCGAAAATATGAAGATAGTGTAAGGAGCCTCTGGGACAGCTTCAAGCGTACCAACATCAGAATCATTGGGGTGCCAGAAGATGAGAGACAGCAAGATATTGAAAACCTATTTGAAGAAATAATGGCAGAAAACTTCCCCCACCTGGTGAAAGAAATGGACTTACAGGTCCAGGAAGCGCAGAGAACCCCAAACAAAAGGAATCCAAAGAGGACCACACCAAGACACATCATTATTAAAATGCCAAGAGCAAAAGACAAAGAGAGAATCTTAAAAGCAGCATGAGAAAAAGAGTTAGTTACCTACAAGGTTATACCCATACAATTGTCAGCTCATTTCTCAACAGAAACTCTGCAGGCCAGAAGGGAGTGGCAAGAAATATTCAAAGTGATGAATAGCAAGAACCTACAACCAAGATTACTTTACCCAGCAAAGCTATCATTCAGAATTGAAGGTCAGATAAAGAGCTTCACAGATAAGGAAAAGCTAAAGGAGTTCATCACCACTAAACCAGTATTATACGAAATGCTGAAAGGTATCCTTTAAGAAGAGGAAGAAGAAAAAGGTAAAGATACAAATTGTGAACAACAAGGAGGACAGGGGGGGCGGGGCAAGGGCAGAGGGTGGGGTGGGAACCAGGTGGAGGGGAGCTATGGGGGGAAAAAGGAACAACTAATAATCTGAACAATAAAGATTTATTTTTTTTTTAAAAAAGTAAAAATGGATTTGATGATATTTGTAGATGTGTATTGCTTAAGTCTAATAAAAGTATATCTGAACTAAGAAATTTCTGTTAGAGGCCACAAAGTATTAAATGACCCAAATGGCATTTTATGATGGGAAGGGAGTGGACTGACAATTCTCGGGGGGATGGGAGTGTGGGGAGTGTGGGAAAAGACGACAAAAAACGTACACCTATGGACGAGGACAGTGGGGGCGGGGC